ACAGGTTAAAGACCTACGTTCTGCTATTAGTGTTGTTTTTGAAAGTAATAGTAAGATGTTAAGCAAAGCAGAAAGCATGCATTCTGATCTCCTGTCTATGCATAGGGTTCGAACGATACTATCGATATTGAGTAAGTATCGATACTTAGGGTATAAAAACGAGTACTTTAATACTCGATACCTTATTTGGTGATTTTACTCGATACTTTGCAAAGTACTCATAGTATCGAATACTTTTTAATAAACACTTTTTAAATTTTTTCTTCCATTGCTTTTTTTGCTTATATGGATTACTATCATTCAATTTTGTCCATCACTTAAAATAAACTGAAATTGCGTGTAGTCTGTTGCATATCATAAGCCAAATAAGTTAAAGTTTAATGGCCATATTCATAAAAAATAGAGTAGGTTTAAAGAGCTTAATAAAATGACATTTTCATACATTTTTCAGTTTATAAACCTTTTTTATTTTTTATGAATAAGGCCATAAAACTTTGCGCAAAGTTCACGAAAATGCAGAATTTTTAGAAACTTTTTGGGTATGCAGTTTTGTAACCTATTCAAATTTACGAGTAGCCAAATTATTACGTGTAGCCTACTACCGTTGACTTTTAATTCAAACTTGCACATTATTATACTAAAATTGAAAATGCACACACAAAAAGTTAAAAAAAATGTACATTTAACATTAAAATTACTTCTAACGTGAAAGTAAGTTCTGCAATGAAATAAAAATCAAATATTTTAAATTTATATTGTTTTATTTTCAGAAAATAACTAGATATACGATTGAAGAATAAAATATTTTAAGTATCCCAAAAAACGTATTTTAATGAGTCCGATACTGAGTAGTATCGATACTTTTTCCCTGATACTTTTAGGGTATCCATATCATGAGCTCGATGCCAGAATGAGTACTCAGTATCGATACCAAAGTCTGAAATTTCGAACCCTATCTATGCAGAAAAACCTTTGCGAAAAAGACGACACGATAAAACTGCTAACAACTGAGGTTAAAGACCTACGTTCTGCTATTAGTGTTGCTTTTGTGAAGCTGGGTGAGGGTAAAGAAGCAATCGTTGAAATAAATTCATCTAATTCTACCCTCCCTCCTTCTTCGATTGATCGTACTGATTGCTTTTCAACTGGTGCTGATAACGCTCTGTCAGCTGCTGCGTATTCGCCTCAACCTAATAATCTACAAATTCCCAACAAACATTCGGCCGTCGGTAAAACATTATTAACTCTGATGCCTACAAAAATGCCTGCGTTGTCTACTAAAAGTGATGGAGTGGGTGTAGCCGCTGCTGCTGATGATCTTCGACCGAACAATCAGCACTCTCTCAACAATTATTCGGCCTCAGGCAGTTCTCTACGTTGCCCAGTTCAAGTGTTGGTATGTGTATGGCTGGTAATAATACAGTCGCCCATGAGAGCAATTTGTTGGCAAGCTCTGGCTACGTTCGGACTCGTCTAATGTGGAGATGACAACTATTTCTGCTACATAGCCCCATGCACAAAGATACAATTGGAAAAAAGTTACACCTAGGAAAGGCAATAGAAAGAACGAAATGCGTGTTCTAACACAAATGCGGAATTGAAACTTTCCGCTCAGATAAGGTGGATTCATCTCTCTTCTTTAATGCCGTCGGTAACTACAGATGATGTGAAAGCGTACATTGAAAACCACACTGGAATTAAAAATAGCTCTTTATTGTGCCACTAACTAATTAAGAAAGGAACCTCAGCTACGGTTCCCAGACGTACTGATTTTATCAGTACAGTACTGATTTTCCAACTCTTGTACTGATTTTATTATTCATTCAATCAGTACGCTAATGTCCTGACTTTTCAAAATTTGTACTGATTTTTACTGAATTTTCAATAAAAACAAAATACTTTAGGATTTTCTTAAGGTTGTTACATAACGTTGGAACTTCTTTAAACTGTACTGTAAAAAGTAAGAAGAAAATAATTTAATTATAGTTCACGTGTTTCAGATAATGTTTGATATGCTCAAGAAATTAATACAACAAAAAATTGGGATATATTGTGGAGTCGAGCTGTTATACCATGTTCTGACCGACGACGAAAACACTTTGAAAACGAGTTTTGGGATTGTGGGCTGAAGGCTGTTCACACCGGCTGTTAGTGTTTTCGTTGACATTTCTTACATCCTCTGATTACAGTTTTGCTACACAAAAACAAAACCAAAATGCTTTTCCCTCATTTTCTTTTCATTAACAACCTCTTACTTTCTTTCTTATTTTACTTTGGCCAGCCAATTAACAATAAATCCGAAATGGCGTATTAAAGATGATAAAATATGACTTCCACTTCGATAAATAATCGAAAAAAACTAGTGAAGACACCGATTGGAATGAGTGGAACGTGAGTTGTCAAGTAGTTTTCAGCAAAAACTGGTTTTCGTTTGACAGATTTTACATGGACGAAAACACAAGTTTTAAGTCGAAAACCAGTTTTAACAACGAAAACATGTTTTCGATGTCGGTCAGAACATGGTATAACAGCTCGACTCCACAATATATCCCAATTTTTTGTTGTATTAATTTCTTGAGCATATCTCGCAAATAACTTCCAGTTCAATAACAACAAATTTGAATATTCGAATTGCTTTTGCATATAACTTACAATTCTTTTTTCTCAATTTTCTGACATTGAAAAAAAGAGTTTTGCATACAAGACATAGAGCTATATACTCTTTGTAGCGCATCCTTAGTCTTTCAAAGTTTTTGCCTATTTAAACAAATTAATTTAAGTCATGAGGAAATATAGATGAAGTCCTTAAATAGTGGTACTTTTCCACAGTTTGAAAAAATATGCAATTTTGTTTTTTAATACCACACTCAAACGAAGCAACTGAAAACACTGAAACTGGAAATGATCTCATTATTGTTATTCAAAAATGTCATAAATATAAAATAATTTGTTGGTTCCTGTGTACAATGTTGTGTACACTCATGTTAAAATGAATAACACTTTTATTTTTTATGAACTATATTTTATTTAGATACCAAAATACTGAGGTTATTCACACTTGTCTGATTATCAGGTTATCTGGTTATGTGGTTATATTTTTTATTAAGTTTACAACAACAAAATACATTACAGAATAATATTTTTTAACCAGATAGCCTTATAACCAAGCAAGTGTGAACAACCTAATTGTTAAAAACAAGTACCCTGACGTGCTAGGGTAGTATCTGTTACTTACATTCATAATTTTGCTTTTAATAAAAATGTACTGAAAAATACTGGTTTTTATAGCTTAAAAAATTCTAACGTACTGATTTCGGGCATAAAAAATCTGGCAACCCTAACCTCAGCTAGTATCTTGAAATACATAAACATCTAGCTTGGAGTCGAGGAAACCTCAAGCTGTTTAAACCTGAGATTTGGCCCACCAATGTCACTGTGCGCCCCCAGCGTAAAAAACCCCATGCAACACAATCATAGTGCAAATCATTCTGCTTCGCATCTGTGCAAAAAATCATTGAGGATATACTATCAAAATATATCTGGTATGCCAACTAAGTCGGAAGCGGTATATAGGTTGAGCACGCCTCTGGATTTTAATATTTTCGTTTCGATCGAAACCTGGCTGAACCCGAACTTTTTTGACCACGAATTCTTCGATCCAAATTTGTTTGATGTTTTCCGCAAAGATAGAGATCCCATCAAATCCGGTTGCAATAGGGGTGGTGGTCTTCTCATTGCTGTACACCGGGGTTTAGTTAAGCTTGCTAATTGTGTCAGCCTACTGGACCAAATCTGTATATGTCTACATGGTTCATCAAGGAAGTTTCATATAGTAGTTTCATATGGAATGAATACATTTATAAATCGCATGTAAATAATGTGCTTGCTCTACAGACTGAAATCGGGGATAGTTAGGTTTGTGTGTTAGGCGATTTTAATCTTTCTAATGTCAATTGGTCTTATTTAGGTAACACTTCAATGCTAACACCTTCAAATATTAACAGTATAGTAGAATTATATCTAATTGATAATTTCCTAGGTATTGAATTATCGCAGATAAATAATATCTTTAATAGATTGAATCGTATTTTAGATTTAGTTTTTATCTCTCAAAACATTAAGTCTATACTATGTGAATGGCTTTTGCTTATTTCGCCAGCTAGTTGCCACCATGCCCCCTTGAGTATTAATCTTGGAATGTACGAGTTTTTTAGCACCTCTGCAGGAAGCAATAATATCCAGTTTAATTATAACAAATGTATTTTTGCGGTACTAAATGGGTTTTTTGACAATATTGACTGGAATTGTCCTTTTGCAGATTTCGAGGCTGAAAAATGCTTTGACATTTTCTAAAGTGCATGATCTATGTAAAATAAACATTCCTGCATATTCATCTAAAACTTATAAGCAGCCATGGTATACAAAGGAGCTGAAGCACTTGTTAAACCAAAAAAATAGATTCTACACTGAGGAAAACAAATTTTAGAAATAAAAAAAAACGTGCTAAATTTAAAAAAATACCCATATGAAAGAGCAGCAACCCAACTCGTTTTCAATTCGGGTATGTATGTTATAAAATATGTAGTTGTGAAGTGCAAAGATGCTTTTTCGTAATTATGAAGAAGAAAAAAATTTAATTTTGTGTTCCGTCTAATGGTAATTGAACCCGGACCCTCTTGGAAGCAACTAATTATATCAAGCGTTTTGCACCATTGTGTACAAATACAAGTGAGATATCTTAGCAATAGACGTCATCCTGGGCCACAGCTGCGATCATCTGTTTTTTAGAGTTGCTTATTTTGGCCTAAAGTGCGCTTTTTTGACCTGAGTTGCATTAAATAGTCTCTTAAAACTTGGTAGTATTTGTTGTTCAAATGGTAACATATATGCCCAAAAACTTGAAAAATATTAGATGATTGCTTTTTAAAAATGCTATTTATAAAATTTGGTTTTGATTGCGACATTAGAAATATTCAGATTATAAAAGTTTTTCACATATGTTTTAAGATTTTAAAGCTTTTAAAATGTACGGTAGAATGCAACAATGTGCTTGAATTTGTTTGCTTCTTCGTCAGCTTATTCGTTTGCAGACTAGAAAAATGGCGAACAGCCATCAAAATACTGATTCAAAATACACACAAATGGGTGCGCGCAGCAAAATTCAGCCCTAATGGTAAGTTCATTTCATCGTGCGGCGACAAGTTAAGAATTTGCGATACATTTTCAGGCGAATGTATGCGAACGTTCACCGGGGGAAGAGGTATGGGACGACAGCTGGCATGGCATCCAGACGGCAATCTGGTGGCTTTAGCATTAAGTTGTAACCGCGTTAAGATATTTGACAAAGCTGAAGGCGAGCTAATACAGTGCATTCGTCGCCGGAGAATGATGTTGCATTTCACCCAAGTGGAAATTTCTTGGTGACTGGCGGCGATGACGATACAATAAGATTGCTTGATTTATTAGAAGGTCGGCCAATTTATACACGGTAGTAGTGCACTTTAGCGGAACCATATAAAATACATTTTTTCCTGTATTCAACAGTTGCCCGTTTGGAAATCTAATTTGCATACATTTGATGGCAATAGCGCGCAACAAACAAGCCAGTTCTCAAAGAGCCCAAATTGATTTTAGTCATGCAACAGCTCCACATAACTCCGCCATAGACACACCAGTTGCTGGAGTACCAAAAAGCTGTGATGACAGTATTTTAATTGATCCACGACAATCGGTGGCATATGGAATGCGTAATGGAAATTTTCTGGTGCTTGATAGCCAATATACTACAAGAGTTAAACGCTACAAGTGAAACGCTGTGATAGTATTTTTTCTCAAATTTTCATCTTTTATTTGCAGTTACATTAACCCTCTAGTAGGCAGAACCGCCTCCAGACGGTCGTTAACTAAACACCTTTTTAGTGCACCTATAATAATTTTTTTATATATTCGTAAGGCACGATTTTTAGACAAAAATCGTACCCTTACGGCGAAGTAAATTTTAATCCGTTATGTCAATCCGTTTTATTTTAATCGGCAGTTGAATTACAGATTTTGAAAACACGGTTAAAATTAATTATTTCTTGCCATTTAGTAATTTCGTAATTAAAGAAATTATTTCTTTTGAAAAATTTTTTGATATAAAAAAATTCGGTGGATTTCGTTGTTAAAATCACCGTATTTTAATATAAGTTTTATAATTATGTCACCATTCGAAATGGAGAAAATTGCTTTCGAACACAGACCGTCTACAGACCGGCTTGCCGACATATAAAACCCCAGTTTTGCATTTTTGACCGTCTGCAGACGGCATTGCCGGTTCGTAGGTCAACATTGTGTAAGCGAAAGCTCAAAATATGTGTAAGTATATCGGCGAGCCCGTCTCCAGACGTTCTTGGTTTTTCTCCCCTGTAGGAAAAAGTTACTGTCACAGATCGAAATGGACATCAGTTTTGGATTTCTCGTGCTAAAATCACCCATTCCGGAATTTTTCAACTCATAAAAAAATTGGCCTACTAGAGGGTTAAGAAGCTCATAGAGGACAGAGCGGTTGGTGAGGAAGGTGTCGAGTTACTGCTGTACTGCAACTGGGAAAATCCGCATTTCGCACGTGCTCCACTCGTATGGAAAAGTAGCTTATGTCGAAAGGCTGGTTTTAGTATAATGCGGCATTCGCAGCATACTCTCACTGGCGCCGAGCCGTTGAAGAAATTTTGGATAAATAAACGTGCAAGAAATAGTTCCGATACTAGCACGTCCATATTCTTGTTAAGGGTCATCAAAAAATTCCTTGTGTTGTAAATAATAAAGGGAATGCCGGATTATACTAAAGCCAGCTTCCCGACATAAACTACTATTCCATACGAACACAGAAATATAAATGTATCTAAAACTGAATAACTCAAATCAAATTGGATTGCATTTGCATAATATACCTAATATTGGAATCTGTTTTGATCGTAAAACATACAACTTGCAATCATTTAGATTATAGTTTTGAAAGAAATTGATTGCAATCGTAAATTATGTAAAAATTGTCAATAACAATCTGCCTAAAATTTATTTTCCCCATGTAACGGTTATAAAATACGTTAAATCCGCACTATCTGCATTAACAAAAAATATACATTGGAATATTTAAAATAAACCGATTCATATTTATTTTCTAATAAGAATTGTTTCTTAATTGAAAGTATTTTATACTAATATAATGTAGTGGTTAATGTTTTAAAATGAACTCGCAATATGTCCGCAGCTCAGGTTGATTTAAAGAAATCCGTTTAAATTTTTCGAATTACATCTACTTGAATACAGGATAGGCAGGGTTGCATACAAATGGTAGTTCCGTAAATATTTAAAATATGTTAGTTCATTCAATATTTGCATCTGGGCCAATAAATAATAACAAATATAGCCGAAAAAAACAAAGTTTCAATTAAAACGAGTTTTTATAACCTCCCATAAAATTCCGATTAATTTTAAATACGAAAATAACGATATTTTTTCATGGAGATTTATTTTTTTAATATACCTTGTTTATACCTACACAAAAACCGGATTAGCAAAAAACCGATTGGACTCAACATATATTTCTTTACAGCATTTATCCCCCTGTCTTTATAGCGCACTCGATAAAGTCTTATTCAAAAGTAAACAAAATTGCTATTTTTAAACGACATTTTTTTAATAAATAATTTGCGCGGTTGACCGAAATGGAAACAAACAATAATTGTAATTTATTATAACAATAATACGAATTTAAAACGGGCTGTATAAAGAAAACCAGCCTATTGTCACTTCACTTTCCAATGGTGCTGATTGCTGCAAGAATTATTTAGCGATTTAGAGCATAATCAACACAATATATGCACATAAATATGTATTATTTCACAGATCTCAGGGTCAGCTTAGAAATACGTTACCAAAATTATATAGAATTTAAGTAGGAATTATTTTTAATTATAACGTAAAAGCGCTATCTGACCCAATCTGATAAGTATATTTCCCCTAAAGCTAACCCATTTTATTTAATTGTTCTCTCGTGAAAATATATATTTTATTTAAAATTTTCAGATATGTACATATATCTTAAATTTTTGCTTTAATTTTTGTCTCCTTTTAATATTTAATTAGATACCTTAAGATTAAACTAAGCTTAAAACGAAACAGCACAGCAACCCTTTTCTGTTCATCTTGAGAACACAAAACCCTCTTTTGTTAAAATTCGGCGCTGCACAAAATCCTGGCTTTTATATTTTCCAACAAAATACCACTTCGCAACCCTGGATTTTCACGAAGCATTTCATTCGGGTCGTAGTTTGGCTACTTCGGGCCATTCGCTGTTGTATGCCATATTGTTCACACTGTCATCGCCATATTGAACACCCTGTCAACTATCTGTCAACCCTAAGATATCTCACTTGTATTCTTCCACAATGTTTTGCACACTCAGCTACAGCCATACATGTAAATGTGTTTTCGAATGTTAAGTTTGAATCAACATCACAGCGCGCGATTTGTGCATTTGTACAGATAAACATGTACCATGTATGTGTTGTCACCGCTGTGCATGCTTTGTATACATATACTTTCTTAATTACATATGAAAAAGCATCCGAGACGTGCAAAACGCCATCCGTGCAGTGAAAAATGCTGTATTTAATTACGGGCGTATTTTACTTGAATATTTCCATTATTCGTAGTAGTTATATGTATAATGGAAATATTAAATTTTGAAGACTTTCCACTTGAGTTTAAACAAACATTTTTAAACGGTAATAAAATAAAAAAATTTCATTTTACAACGCTTTTTTTTTCAGAGCTCTGTTTTTTATTTTGTGTTTCTAGCAGTAGACGGAATTTCGCAACGTTCCGAATAAAAAAAAATGATTTTGCGTACGTCTCCAAGGCAGTTAAAATATGCGTATAATTTTCGTCACGAAATTGATATCATAAATTTTGTGTCTCTAGTTCAGCTTTCGTCACTCGAAAATTTTACCTCAAAGAGGTTTTTTATTTGATATCAATTATTTTGGGGTATCAAATTTAAAATCGATGAAAATACAAACAATAATCTAAATGTTTTATTTTTCTCAAATAAGTTGTTAAAAATGTTATCTAAATCTAAATTATGTATTCAAATCGATGTGTCCATTGAAACATATAATATTTCGAATACGGAATAAAGCGAAAAATAATGATTTATATCCTTTGTATTCGAAAAAAAAATAAATTATGAGATATGATAAAAACTTATCAACTTGGTACCAACTTTGGATACAATAAACAACTGTATTCGTCTCATTGCCTCGTAGTTTAATTTTTGTTAAGATTTCTACCGGGTGTGGGGCGCACACATGTGCTTTTTTAAGAAGTTTTACTTCCATCACCTGTACGGTGTTGCACTCATGCTATTAAACTAATGTTTTTTTCTCAAGTAGTTTTGCTCAGTGGCAATTTATACATTTTATGTAAGTAGTAGTGGCACATTTGGTGAACTAAATGCATTCATATTTATGTACAACTGTAAGTAATATTGTATGCGTCTTAAAATAAATACTGTGTAGTAAAAAAAAAAAAAANATTTTTCTCAAATAAGTTGTTAAAAATGTTATCTAAATCTAAATTATGTATTCAAATCGATGTGTCCATTGAAACATATAATATTTCGAATACGGAATAAAGCGAAAAATAATGATTTATATCCTTTGTATTCGAAAAAAAAATAAATTATGAGATATGATAAAAACTTATCAACTTGGTACCAACTTTGGATACAATAAACAACTGTATTCGTCTCATTGCCTCGTAGTTTAATTTTTGTTAAGATTTCTACCGGGTGTGGGGCGCACACATGTGCTTTTTTAAGAAGTTTTACTTCCATCACCTGTACGGTGTTGCACTCATGCTATTAAACTAATGTTTTTTTCTCAAGTAGTTTTGCTCAGTGGCAATTTATACATTTTATGTAAGTAGTAGTGGCACATTTGGTGAACTAAATGCATTCATATTTATGTACAACTGTAAGTAATATTGTATGCGTCTTAAAATAAATACTGTGTAGTAAAAAAAAAAAAAA